AACTTATTATATAGAACTATTATCTAACCTGTGTAGTACTATACAGGTGAGTATATCCCACTCTGTTGTAATCCACCTGGAACTTGTAAACTCCGTAAACATCAGGTAACTTAAAGGTGACGTGGAATTTACCATCTGAAAAACGGAAATTCAAAAATAACAGTGGAGAAATATTTGAACCATCAAAAGGATTCAAAGAGAAGTAAGACCCTAGCTAACTCTACCAGAAAATTCAATACATTATCATTCTAGATATATGTCATTTTTCTGTCTATTTTTCTGATAAGATTATCTAAGCTATTTAAAACAAAATATAAATTTATCCTGAGTCATTCTTACTTGAGTTCTTAAGAGTAGTTCTGACAAATGGGTCAATGCGGACGAATTCCAGCTGGACATCTTGACCAGAGAATGGCTTCCACTGACCGTCCTTCAGTTCTTCTATTTCAATAGAGTATTCCTACAAAAGCCATCATTCATAAACCTTAATTCAAACCAAAAAAGAATGTATGGCTCAATAAAATATATTTACACTAATACAGATATTTCAGTATTTTTCATCAAGTACATACCACCATCTCATAGACAGTGTTTGGCTGAGGACATTTGTACTTACAACCATGTCATAGACAGTGTTGTTCTGAGGACATTTGTACTTACCACCATCTCATAGACAGTATAGACATTAGGACATCTGTACTTACCACCATGTCGTAGACAGTATAGGCCTGAGGAGGTTCTTTTTCTCCCTGTTTGTTGTGTTTAACTGCCCCGACACGTAGGACCCCCTTCTCCTTAAACACCCACTGAGACAGGCTTACAGCTAGGTCCTCATTACCTGACTTGGGGAACCTGTAACAAAAGGAATTCACAAAAGCGATTAAATATAGTGTTATGGAAAAACTTCCTGTATGCAATGATTGACTCATCATGTGTAATAACAGAGGTTGTGCTTATAGTATCCTTCGAAAGATATAGCTTCTAAAACAACAATTTTCCAGTGTAGAAGACCAATATCTTATCAAAGATGATATCTGTTTTATAATCCTTCTTACTTTTTGTTGGTCATTCCATTCTGTACATTGGCAGTGAAGAATTCATCACTGAAGAAGTCTAGAGAGCCAAGGAAGACTACTCTAGCATTGTTTCTGGCCTGTAGAGCTGCTACCAGCAGGGTGTTTTTGCCAACAGCGTGAGGATACTAGAAGTAGGAAAACATGATTAAAATTCTTATAATTCATCGTAACTGAATGGCATTACTAAATAGAGGTTTTCTCAATAAAATTACTTAAATTTTTTCTTCACCTCATACTGAGGAAATATGATGTGAATTGTCAATGATTCCATGACTACTACTTACATCGTCAATGGGTTTGTCTGGGAAGAAGGAGTAGGCAGTAGAGGAGGCATGGAGGACACTCAACACGAGGGGGTTCTCTGGATCAGCCACCATTCTGTACCATCACATAGCAACAATATAAATAATGCATAAAAGATGAATGAAAAATCTTCAATTAAACTGTACCTTTACTGTAGCACTGTGTAGTTTGTGTTTTAATGTCCACTACTGAAGGTAAAGAAGGACTTGAAAAAAAAAAAAGCACACACAAAAAGACTAACAGATGATAATCACCTAACCATGACTTATATAAGCTTCTATAGTCTTTGACCAACATAGCTTAAAATCATAACAGGAACCATATCCTTATTTATTACATTGTTCACCCTTTTCTAAGCACCCCTCACTTACCCCACTCCCCGGTACAGCAGGGGGTTGATGTTCTTGGAGCCAACTATAAGGGGGGCATCAAGCAGATTTTTTGAGTCAGCAATCACCATTGTGTGCTAAAAATTAAAACAAAAAGAATGCTTCCTGAAATTCAATTTGAAAGTTTGATCATAGCTTACTGGGGTAGAGGCTGCTATTTTATTTATTTCTTATCTTGGTAAGAGCTGTTTGTGTGTCCAGTATTCTCTCACCTTTCCCTGATCCTTGATGTCATAGTTAAGGTGGTCAATCACAGCTGTCTTCTCATAGTCAAACTCCACCCCACACTCTGTGGCCAGCTCACGAATCGGGTCACCTGAGTGACAGAGAATATTATATATAGGGCATCAATACCTCAACATAAAGAAATGTTTGAATGTTGAAAATACTCAAAGGACTGAGATAATACCTATGTCTGAGCTTGCTGCAACTAAAACATTTCCCCCTCCATCGATAAAGTTAGTGATGGCTGCCACGTCAATTGATCCTCCAAACTCTTTCAAAAAATATTAAAATACATCACTAATGTACATCTTACAGCTCTATATTTACATCAAGTCTGCATATTTTCTCCTTTACTTCTTAAGAAAATTTTAATTTCCCTTATTCAATCCATTGATATTTGTTTGTGATATTGTATCTTAAAATGTGTAAATACCAACATACCATGGAAAATAATAACAAATGCAAATTTAGGTGCCCTGTATAATAGACAGGTGAAATATGAATTTAAGACAAAAGTTACCTTCTACAGAGGGAGAAAACAGGACCAGGTTGTCGTACAGGAACTCTCCATACTTCACGAGGGCCAGACTGGAGTCATCAGCAGTCTTAAAGGTCAACTCAAAGCCACGATCTAACATTGAATAAAAACAAGATAAAAGACCATCATTAACCGCACATAAGATTTTTCAAAGCAATACCAATATCATGTCTTCTGGTATTTCAAATGAAATTTCATTTCAGCCCGTATTGATTGAAATGAGCGGTCGAAGTCATTGCAAAAAAATCCCTAATCACGTTGTATGGGACAGGGCTGAGATATCATAGGGACACCAGACCAAAATTTTAGTCCCTACAACATCTCACTGAGATCAAAATCATCCTTTTTACCGATTTCTCGGGTCTTGGGAGTTTACACTCCGCAAAAGGTAGGCAGAGTCATGACACCAGCTAGTGTCGCTGAATTCCCACTTTTCAATATGGCCTCTGCTCTGACTCTTCCCTGTACAAGTCACAACAAATAAGCAGGGGTTAGAGTCAGAGGAATCTCGGTTTAATGAATAATTATATACTTTTGACTTTTTGATTATTTCTTACGTCAATACGAAAAACATTTTTGTGAAAAACTGCATATAAAAAAGCTATTTTGAATAGTTTAATAAAGCTATATTTAAGAAATAAAGTCCGCGTTTTTGTGAACGTTGCAGGATGACCTCATCGGTCTCGAAATGTTGTTTGAAAGATAAAAGCAGAGGCTTTTATATTTCAAACAACATTTCGAGACCAAGGAGGTTATCTTGCAACATTCACGACAACAAGGACTTTATTTCTATTCTACAAGGATCATGAAGATCGCTAAAATATGCCTGATCACTTCCTCTATAGAGAAACGAAATAGGTCACCATGTCTCGATTACGCTGTTCCATTTCACACCAGAGGGAAAATTTGTTTGCTTCCATGTGTATGGAATTCAGACAATTTGAACTTTCGTTGCATTAGAAATAGCCTTTTTAAATTTCAAATTTGTTCCTTATATTTATTGATTAATTTTAATGATTATACAATAACATAACCATGTTCCTGTTTAACTGCTTTATTGGTGTTTAAATGTGTAGGGAGGTACGTGGAATAGCCCTGTTTGGTTATAAAAACCGACATTCATCAGCAACTTGATGCAATTTCAGTGTTTTCCCCAGAAAATTTTTTATGCATGGGGGGAATTTCGCTGAATTGACGGCGCGCGGCGTGCGTCGGTTAAGTTAATTGTACATGTAACTAAATGTGTAATACATTTAGATGAATAAAGTGCCCCGCCACAGCATGATACGCCCGTCAAATATTGTTCAATAATCATAAATTGGTTGGGGTGCAAGAAAATCAAGTAACTTTGATTAACAGATTGACACAGATTTCAATGATCTAATTTCCATTTCTTATCATGTTTATTGTACATACATCTCTAAGAGACTTACAGTGTAGGGATTAATTATAACAAATAATACATCATATAATTCTAAACTGGCTGAGTTAGAGCTTCACAAATATCCATCTGCAGCTTTAAATTGTTCATTGCATATTTTATGAAATAATGGAAATGCTACAGTCTACATAGTCTAATAAAAAAAATCAAAAATGAATTTATTCTTTAGAATATAAAATTCTAAGTGAGACACGACTGCAATTTGTTGCAAATATATAAAAATTGAAATGTATTTTTTTTTTTCAATGAACACATGTATAATTCGTTTTAATTATATTATACAATACTAATTTAGTTTTAGTCATACACTAAATGCTGCATTTCATTTCCGGAAATATGCATAGCATTTCTGACATTTTTTTATTTCATTTCCGACATTTTTTGTTTTCATTTCCAACATAATTTTGTTTTCATTTCCGGAATTTACCTGTGCGGCAATTCAATGTTTTCTAAGTAAGTGAAGTGAATTTTAAAAGTATTTATTACAAAATATTGATAAAACATATATGCATACATGTACAGCACTAAGTCTAGGTAAAAGAGTTCAATGAGCATAAACTTTTTCACCACATCTAATGTGCACTAAATTAAATGTCAGTGACAGCACCACACTTATGCCAAAGTCATTGATAGATTTACAAAATTCGGATAATGGATTTCAATGATTTATTTAATTTTTTTTTCTTGAAATTTTTTATAAGTAAAGTATTCAGATCTATTACTAAAAGTACTACATATGTATTTGAAAAATGTCGGAAATGAAAACAAAACAAGAGGCCCATGGGCCACATCGCTCACCTGAGAAGCTTTGACCATTCTGTTCTTCACCAGATTTCACCCTTGTTATACATAATGCATCCCCACCCTACCCCACTGATCATAATTTAGACATTTTGAAATCTACACTACCACATGATCCTTCCATGGGCACATATGTTTCAGCTTTTTGGCTCAGTGGTTCCCGAGAAGAAGATTTTCAAAGATTTTTCCTATATATTTCTATGTAAAACTTTGATTCCCTATAATGGCCCCGCCCTTCCCCCGGGGGTCATGATTCCTAAAATTTAGAAGTTACACTACCCCAGAATGCTTCCACATAAGCTTCACTTTTTCTGGCCCAGTGGTTCTTAAGAAGAAAATTTTCAAAGATTTTTCCTATATATTTCTATATAAAACTTTGATTCCCCATTGTCGCCCCACCCATCCCCCGGGGGTCATTAATTGAACAATTTAGAATCTACATTATACCAGGATGCTTCCACATAAGTTTCAACTTTTCTGGCCCAGTGGTTCTTGAGAAGAAGATTTTCAAAGATTTTTCCTATATATTTCTATGTAAAAATTTGATACCCCATTGTGGCCCCGCCCTTTCCCTGGGGGTCATGATTTGAACAATTTAGAATCAACATTATACCAGGATGCTTCCACATAAGTTTCAGCTTTTCTGGCCCAGTGGTTCTTGAGAAGAAGATTTTCAAAGATTTTTCCTATATATTTCTTTATAAAACTTTGATTCCCCATTGTGGCCCCACCCATCCCCCGGGGGTCATTATTTGAACAATTTAGAATCTACATTATACCAGGATGCTTCCACATAAGTTTCAGCTTTTCTGGCCCAGTGGTTCTTGAGAAGAAGATTTTCAAAGATTTTTCCTATATATTTCTATGTAAAACTGTGATTCCCCATTGTGGCCCCGCCCTTCCCCCGGGGGTCATGATTTGAACAATTTAGAATCTACACTATACCAGGATGCTTCCACATAAGTTTCAGCTTTTCTGGCCCAGTGGTTCTTGAGAAGAAGATTTTCAAAGATTTTTCCTATATATTTCTATGTAAAATTTTGATTCCCCATTGTGGCCCCGCCCTTCCCCCTGGGGTCATGATTTGAACAATTTAGCATCTACACTACCCCAGGATGCTTCCACATAAGTTTCAGCTTTACTGGCCCAGTGGTTCTTGAGAAGAAGATTTTTTAATGACCCCACCCTATTTTTGTCTTTTCTTGATTATCTCCCCTTGCGAGGGGATATGTCCCTTCATTTTAACAATTTAAATTCCCCTTTACCCAAGGATGCTTTGTACCAAGTTTGGTCAAAATTGGCCCAGTGGTTCTTGAGAAGAAGTCGAAAATGTGAAAAGTTTACAGACGGACAGACGGACAGACAGACAGCTAGACAGACGGACAGACAGACGGACGGACAGACGGACGGACAGACGGATGGACGACGGACAAAATGTGATCAGAAAAGCTCACTTGAGCCTTCGGCTCAGGTGAGCTAAAAATGTCGGAAATGAAAAATAAAAAATGTCGGAAATGAAAAGTTGATAATTACCAAAAATTCTGGAAATGAAATGCAGCCACACTAAAACATCAATTTGTTTTAATTACATTACACCAATTGAAAGATCTTTATCTGGACTATAGCCATCAAGAACTCTTAACACAAGCAACTATGAGGCCATTTCTTTTTGCCCAACTCCCAAGAGATAAATTAAGATAACAGCTCCATGATCAGATCTAGAGATGCTCTTGCCAGTTAGCTCCCGACAATAAAGTCCTTAATTTCTCTTTAATTTGACATGCACATTTCTGCTATCAAAATTTTCCTTGACCACTGCTTGATAATTATGCCCATGGGACAAACTAAATTCCTCTCAAAACATTAACATTTGTTACAGATATCTGTAAAGTATATGATGAAAAAATAAGTTTTTACTTAATTTAACATTTTTTAATAAGGATACAACTATATTTTTACATTTTTTGGGATTATGAAATTTAAAATTTAAAAGACTTTTTTAAAAAAAATCACTTAAATTAAAGGTCACAGTGACCTTGAAATAGGCCGCGACACACCTTCTACCTTAGATGTATACTTTTGCCAAGTTTGAAAGCTCTAGGTCTAACAGTTTTTTAGTTATGAGCCGGACAGGATTTTTCCATATTTGGCTATAGCATCTTTATTAAAGGTCAGAGCGACCTACTTTTTGTGCGTGACACACCGTCTACCCAAGAAGTATCAGTTGACAAAGTTTGATAATCCTAGGCCTAATAGTATTCAAGTTATGAGCCGGACACGAATGGACAGACAGACGGACGGACGGACATGAAGCCTATAACATAATACGTCCCGTCTTAAGACGGGCGTATAAAAACTACTATTCATTCTTTAATTAAATGATGGGGTAAATACATTTTGAACAAATTGTCAATTTTACTTAAAAATATTCAACAATAGAGTTTTTTAAAAATAAAAATAGAACTAATAAAAAAATATTTGCTCTATTAAAATTTTCTATAAACATGATAAAGCCACTGTCTTTTTACTGTTTTGTGTATTGTGTGATTTTTGCTTTCTACAAATAGACCCCTAGGGACCTCCACCTTTTTATAATTTTTTTTTATGTCCCTACTTTTGCAGTTGTCTTGAAACAAAAAGGGTGCTCATTAACATGTAGCACTAATGCTTACATGTAAATATTGTGACAACTTATTTACATTCATTTGGTGTTTGATTTTTCCCGCTTTTGTTTTTTTAATTTTTGGTCCAATACCGTTATAATGAAAAGTAGGAGCAAAATGTTTCCTATTGGGACACGATATAAAAAGGACCAATAGGTAATCCTTACTCTAATTTTTCGTGTATTGAA